CTCACCATGGTGTCTGGGCTCCCCTGGGTGATGAAGGAATGTGACTGATTCTTTGGGACCACAACCTTAACCAGCGGCACACTGTCACTGATGCCCTTCATAAAAACACGGTAATACGTTTGGTCAAATTTTAGCTCACAGCATCTGACATGTTAGGAAAGAAACTGCAGTATTTTATTTTATTTGAGCTAATACCTCAACAAAGAAGGACTTGAGGTCACTGAGGTGCTCAAACATGCTGAGAGGACACGAGTCCAACTGAGCTTTCCTTTTCTCCACTTCCTCCTGAGACAGGCGCACTGGATGGGGCTCCTAAACACACACAAACTCAAATATCAGACTGAGAACAGCAGATATTCACTAACAGATGCCAGAGTGAGTCTGCACCTTGAGTAACTGGCAGGGTGTCTGACCAAAGTTGCTGATCATGCCTTCCAGAGCCTTACGCTCCTTTTCATCAGTGATGGCGTCCAAGTCCACCGCCCCTGCAAACCCAGACCATCCTCTTAATACTAATAAATCACTGCACTTATAAACGCAACAGTCACGGTGAGATGTGACAGCCTGACGGCTGCTGTGGATTCGTTACCCTCATATGTGCAGTAGTAGAAGACGTTGAGGGCTTCCACCGCTGCAGGGCCCCTCTGTTTGTAACCAAAGATCAGATCAATCCACTCATGGAGGTGGGCTGACACATACTCTGATTCCTGTAACAGAAAAAATGCGATTACAACCCAAACACTCCAAAGCAGATAGTGTCCATCTGCAGTAACAGGTTTTAGTCACAGGTAATCGAGTACTGCATCATTTCTTTCTTATACAAGAAACATATGTTTGATTTTTACCTGGAACTTTTTGACTATTACTGCCTTCCTTCTGCATGCTTTCAAATGACTGATAGTTGTGTTAGATTAAAAATGTTGTGCTTCTAGGTGCATTATCACCATCTGTTTAATCTATATGATCTATTTAAAGCAGCTTTAAGAAGCATCCTGATATGTCAGCTAACTCAACTATTGTCTGGAAACAGTCAGTCTGTGATGCATCCAGACTTGCACTGTGAGAGTCTCTGCTGTGGGAATGATCCCTACGGCGTGACATCACACAGCAGTGGCAGTAAAACTGCATCTCACCAGAGCTTTGCGGTGCTTGTAGATGAAGTCTTCAGGGGACTTGGCCCATTTGGGCAGAACAACATCATTTACTCTTTCCTTGGAGATCTGCAGGCGACCCAGATCAAATCCTGCAAGGACAACGAGAACAAAGCACGAGGATCTAATCGTATTTGTGCATGACAGCCACACAGAGCACAAAAAGGACTACATTTAAACTGGTGGTAGCTGTAATATCTGAAAAGATTTCTGCATACATACACCAAAAAGTGAAATCTCACCATTTTGGTTTTCTAAGAACTCTGGGAAGTAGAAGAACTCAGGGATGAGCTCTTTCACGTCGTTGGGGTTGTCCATGAGGGTCTGCCATGTGGCTGGGATGGAGTGGAACTGACGGTCGGCACAGTCGAACCTGGTACAGTCAGGGTGGTACAGATTAAGCTCTGCAGGCTTTCATGCTATGATTAGAGTCTACATGCATACAGATAAATGCACATAAACAGGAAAGAGGATGGGAAAATAAATCGTGTATAATGAGACATTTACCGTCCACTCTGTAGTTGGATGTGCAGCGACGTGAAGGGCTCCACCCTGATCATGTAGTGCATGACGCCGGCAGCGTTAGAGTAGTGGGTGCCATAATGGAACCTGTCTATGGTTCCTGTCGGGTCTTCAAAACTTTCATACCTGACGGACACATTTAATGTGTTAGTTAATGCTCTCAATGATCAAGATGCTCGTCAGAACATTTGGATGTTAATTCAGTACGAGAGTGAAACGTACTTTTCTCTAACCGCCTTTGCGTTGCGTTCATTAAGCACAGCGACTGGTTTTGACAGGTCCCTGAATACCCGAGGATCAGAAAGGTCCAGCTCCTCTGAGGTGTAGTCCGCTAGAATCCAGGGAAACTGAACAAACGGCCACAAATGATTCAGTCAGAAT